TTCAAGTTTGGACAGCGACCGAGCTCTAATGGTCGGCAGCTTTGCTATGGTCCGGTGCAATACCTCTTGTGGTTCGCCACTCCAAATCCCTGGTCCTAGGTTGCTGGTTTCCATCACACAACAGTAGGTCTACGCGACTACGAGGTTTACCTCGTGTACTGTTCATCACACGAAATCGTGTGTAATAAGACAATTCGACTACATCTCGTATTTCGATGATCGTGAATACATCTGGGCGGTTGGGTAGACGTGATTAATGCTTTTAGTGTGGATGTTTTGATTATTCTGTCAAATGTTTATGTGTAGTGCACACCACACTTCGTGAATGTAAAATTATCAGTTATCCGAATAATTGCCCTGTCTCGAAAGCCACGATTTGAAGTGCACCAGCGGATGTATGTATTCCTTAGGTGATGAGAAAAAGTTCATTTAAGATAGATGTGACAATTCACATTTCTATTGACGATGCCAAGGTGGACGAAATCGTATCTAACAGGTAACACAATGGCAGGTGATCGGTTATGGTCTGGGGTGCATTTGCTGCTGGTCTGAACTCATTGTCAATCCTGGACAGCCTACACGAACATTTTCGAACATAACTTTTTTCCGTTCCCCATGAGGATGGATGAAGTAGCATTTTTTCAACCAGACAGCATCGTGTAGCACTTCCTGTCGCACTGCTATTGCCCTGAGATAAGTGAATTGTTAGATTCTTCGCCTTTTCACTAAACGCATCAAAATACACAGTAATTTTACTTTATTTTCCCTAGGGGTGTTTATCTAACTGCAGAGAAGCTTGGTTTGGGGGGTGCTGTTGGAGATTTTATGAAAGAGTTTGTGCGAATGTGCACACAAATCACACCTCACGAAATGGAGCGTGCTAAAAACCAGTTGAAGACTCACTTGCTTCTTCAGTTAGATGGAACGACCCCAATTTGCGAAGAAATCGGCCGTCACATGCTGGTCTATGGTCGCCGAATACCGCTTGCCGAGCTGCTGGAGCGCATCGATGTAAGTTTACTTTTTAACCACCATTCAGCATGTCGTTCAAAGCAAAAGCACTTAGTTTTACTTAGTAATGCAGTGTTTCTGTTAGCTTGCAAAACCACCAATCATGCTTGTATGCGATTAACTCAACTGTACGATGTTGGTGCTGAACCAAGGGTTCTGTACTCTCACGCCGATTGTACATCCACAGCCTTCTCCGTCAAAATTTGTTCTACCTTATCGGCGGAAATGAATGATGCGTTATAGACTGTGGACGATTGAAATTGGTCCCGGGTAGAGCTGAATTGGATTCAAGCTGGGTTGAAAGTAAACGGTAGGTTGTAGAAACGGACTACTGGTCCAGCTTCAAAGCGGGTGATTACTATATACACTGCTACTACGAGTGACTCCTCGGAGCGGATGGGTCAACTTTATGAAGTTAGTATGTAAGTTTCGTGCAACAGATGTTCTCAGCGCTACCCATATTATCGTCCCGGGTTCACTCCTGGCTTTTACACACCCAAGTACAAACTATAGGACGTGTATACAGACGCTGCTGTTTTCATTTTTATGCAACTCAAATTGTTTCATCCAGTTTCACTAATTTCTCAACATAAGTCCCGCACGCTGGTAGCTAGTCATTTGTATTGCATTCAGTTGCAATAAAGCACTATGGTTTCATCTTTGGGTCAGTCGTTCACCATTGAGAAACGAAAATAATTCGGTTTTGTTCCTGTTCAGGTCACGTCTACTTCTTTGTTTGTTGAAATTATTACACTTTCTCAGTTACCTGATTGTTATGTATATTTTCAAATTATAGCTGCTAACGGTTGAAGACATCCGCCAAGTGTGCATGAACTACGTCTACGACCGTTGTCCAGCTGTTGCCTCTCTTGGTGAGTTATCCTGTTGCTTGTCTTTCATTAAAAATTATCACTCGTATATATATGCAGTGCTCTGTCCTTAGAGTGCATTTACAAATCGATCTCCCCTCCGAGTGAACGCATTGTTTCGTTCCCATCGGATTTTATTTTTGAAACCCCCCATTGGACAAATATGACCGTTGAGCCGTATAACGCAACGTAATCGACGGAAAACCCCACCTCATCCTGTGATAAATATCTGTTATGGAAGATATCAAATATTGCACATGAGTAAACACGTGAACGTTGTAGACCATACAAGTACCACATGGACGGTCATTGTAATCATTTAACAGAGAGAAGCAGTGGGTATCCAGGAGTTCGGCGCACACTACGTGTTTCTTGCACCAGTCATCTACACCTGCGGCGTTGGCTACCATAGATGCACTTTCAGTACTTAGTCTCATAGGTGGTAAACTTACTAGCTACACTCGATATAATCACAACTGCTTTCACACCTAGGTAATTGAAATTGCAAGCGCCTCGTGTTTTGTTAAGGCGGGACAGACATTCCTGACTTGTGTGGATAAAGTTAGGGATTATTACAGTGTATTCACCAAGCAGAATCGGTATGTTTTATCCCTGAGAAGTTCTGCGATCTCTCTCTCTCTCTCTCTCTATATATATATATATATATGTATATGATGATGATGATGATGACGATGAACTTACATATTTTTTACGATTGTGATGATTTCAATCTTAATCACATTGGCACTTTTCATTGATCTAATCAATCGTTCTATTTCGTTTTTTATTAGGCCCAATCGAGACCATGCCCGACTACAATCGTATTCGGGATCAAACCTGGTGGCTACGTTTGTAAGATGTATCAGAAGAGCCACCAAAATGCAAGCGCGCGCCTCATTATAGTCCTCGAAAATAGCATCACTACTTCCCTCTGACCAAGATGCTTACCATGTGCGTGTAAAGATTAGTTACAACTTTTTAAACGATTTGGAATGTTCTTTTTATGACTTCATGGTTAGGGTCGTTAAGGAAACGCTGTACTAAAGTTCATCCTCAGCAGCTTAGTTCTGCGTTTCTCGGAAAGAGTTGGCATTAAAATTTCAGAATAGGTATAATCTAAGTGACACTATACTCGCTGGAAGTAAGCCGACTGTTAACGAAACGAAACGGATTAGCAGACAAGGTGTGAAAGCAGGCGTTAGTTTTAGGAATGGACCGAATATCAACACAACTAACAGCATTGGTAATTAGAGCATGGAACAGAAACAGGATAAGTATTCAATGAAAATTTGTTTGAGGTGGGCGGAAGTTTTCCATAACGGATCAGGTTCTTCTACTACATCGTCTGCGTCCTTGCAGCCAATAAATCAGTGGTGTTCAACAAAAACGATGAAGTCAGAAAGTACCCTGCACATTCGGTATGTGCTTTGCACCTTCAAAGTGCAGTGTGACTGCAGGACTGGGTTTCGTCTACTCCCGCCCTGAAACTAAATGGTCAGGATTTAGTTATGGTGGATTATTTTTCCCACTTAGGTAGTTGCGTGATCAATGACGGTAGTACAGCAAAGGAGATAACCACTCGCATTTCCAAGGCTCGAGCAGCGTACGCAGGATTGAAACAAATTTGGCGTAGACGAGACGTTTCACTGAAGCTGAAAGGTCGTGTTTATTGTGCCACTGTTCGTTCAATTCTGCTTTGTGGTTGTGAGACGCTGAATTTGTGAGTAGAAGATATCCGTCGACTAGAAGTTTACGTAGTTTAACCCATGTGGGATGGAGCGAAGGGGTTAGTAACGTGGAGGTAAGCCGTTGTGTGTTTGGTAGCTATCAGGTATAAAC